GCAGGGCCTTTGCACGTGCCTTCGTGAAGCTCAACTCTTTCTCTCCCCTTTGGACTACCAGCAAACGCCGAGAGCATGAAATAATAAAGCAATTCCTCCCTGACCTTTCTTTCTCTACAACACAGTTTTCTGCTTCCTGAGGTGGTGGGAAGTACAGCTCATGTGCTCCAGACTGAGCTGTCACCCCGGCTGCCCTGGCAGGTCTGAGTGTCTGTCTCCCCAAGAACTCCTGGAAGGAAGGGACAGGGACACGTTCACCTGATCACAACGTGCTGACCGAGAAGACTGACACGCCCACCGATGAAGCCGTCTGTCCCTCTGACCTCCGCTCATGTCCCCTAGGCAGCCAACGGGTCCCGAAGCCCAGGCCTGCAGGGCGGGGCTCCTGCATCACCTGGGAAAAGGCTGCTAGGAGATGCCTCAGTTTCCCCACCTGTCAGTGAGCAGGGTCAGGACCGCTGGCCCCCACGGGCATCGTGTGGCTGCGGGCTTTTCTCCCCTCAGTCCTCCCGGTTCCCCCGACAGAGGGTCTGGGCCTGGGCCCCGTGAGGCATCCTGTACGCACACCCTCCCCTGCCCAGCCCTCATGCCCAGCAGCTTCTAGAGACCTCCCTGGCTCCGCGCTCTGGAACCCACCTTGTCCCTCAAGCCCTGCTCCCCCACCCCTCCCCATGCCGCCTCCGAGCCCCGCCTTCCTCTCCCCCGGATCCACGGCACACTCAGCACGCACCCCATCCCGGTCACCCTGCCAGGCCCCTTCCTGCTGTCCCCAGGTGTGGAGCTCCGTCCTTCCTGTGCACGAGTGTGGCCCGGCCCGCACCCCCCACACCCTGCTGTCTCGGCTGCTCGTGCTCCGCTGACCTCTGCTCTCCGATTGGCACTGCCCTGGTGAGGCCCCACGTGCTTGCCACCCTCAGGGCTCCAGCTGCCTGGAGAACTTCCTGCCCCAGCGCAGCCAGGCTTCAGCCCCAGTGGGGAGGCAGTAATCTGAGAGGTGCGGAGGGCTGCTATAGTCTGCTGGGAGGGTGAGCGCAGCCCCAGGGCTCCGGGTGGGATCCCCACGGGAGGAACCAAGAGGTGGGAATTCAGCCGGACTGCAGTGTCTGGAGGTGGGGGCTCTGCGGTGATTAGGGTCGGACAAGCTCATCGGGTGGAATCCTGGTGGCTTTGTGAGAAGAGGCAGGGACCAGACAGTCGACACCTGCTGTCTTGCTGTGTGGTTCCCTGAGCCACTCTGCCACCAGAGAGGCGGATGGCATGAGCTGTCTGTGGTTTCAGCCTCTGTCTCAGGCAGCTGCCCCACACTGTGACCAAACACCCAAGAGGAACAACTTAGAGCAGGAAAGGTCTGACTTGAGTCGCGGTTTCCAAAGTCACAGTCCATGGCCACTTGGTACACGACGGTGGGAGTGGGTGGCTCAGTAGGGCCCCTTAACCTCACGGTGGCTGGAAAAGACAGAGAGGAAGAGGACGGGGTCTCACAGCTCCCTCCAAGGGCGCAGCTCCAGTGACCTATCTGCCACCAGGCCCCGTATACTCCTAGAGTGTCCACCACCTCTCGGTAGGGCCTCACGGAGGCCCAGGCCTTGGACACCTGGGCCTTTGGGCACTTTCCAGATCCAAATATGGCAACCTTAAGGCTGTGGGCTAAATGAACCTCTTTTCTTCCTAGAGTTCCCGACGTCAAAACAAGCCCTTACAGTACCGAAAGACACACAGAAGCCTTCAAGGGACTCCCCGATTAGCGCCACGCCCCTACCATGTCCGGCCAAGGCTCCTCTTCCCAATCTCCACAGCCCTGTCCCTGTTCCCGATGGGCATGGCCCGGGTGGGCTTTCTGCACAGTGGTCTCTGTCCCTGGGGCACAAGTCAGGTAGAGGCGAGCTGAGCTTCCCAGGCCCCCTCCCACCCTGTCCTGTCTCCAGCTTTCTGCCCTGTGCCTGGAAAGATGAGGCAATCCGCTCTCAGTTCTGGGAGATGGGCTACTGTCCATGGCCTGCGTTGGCTGCTCGCGTCTCAATTTCACCACCTGGGAAGGGCCCAGGGTGTCACATCCTTGGGGTGCCCGCAGGAGATCTTGAGTGGGGAAGGGTGCTCCTGAGTCTGGGAGGGACCCCTGGTGCCAGGACAGCTGTGCCAGCCCGTGTGAGTGATGATCTTTCGGTGAGAGCTGGCAGCCGGGGGTTAGGTCCCCAGGTCCTTGGCAGGGTTTGGAGAAGGATGTGCTCAGTGGGACCTGCCAAGGGGACCGGGCCTGGTCACTGTGTCCTGGCTGTGGCATTCGGAGGGGATACTAGGGGCTGCCTGAGACTTGGAGAAGAAACTGCAGAGGTTATGGTTAAGGTGGGCCCCACAGAGACCTTCCTTGAGAACTGGGGCTTTTCCAAGGGGTCTCAAAAGCTGGACTTTGTATGCCCAGGGAGAACTCTCTCCAGGTCCCGGCCATTTGAGGAACCCGCGTATGTCCTCATGTGCAGCTGGGGCTACACATATGGGGTCATCTTCTTATTGTCACGGACAGACAGGGCAGTGTCCCCTCCTGAGCTGGGAGAAGCCGGGGCAGAGGAACTGGTGCCTGCTGGGGACGGAGGGCAGAGAGGGGAATCAGAGCCCGCATGGGCAGCAGCCCACCTGGGGCGGGGCCGGGGGAATCACGGGCACCCTGTAAAGCGGTGATGCTTTTACTGCGGTATAACGCACACGACAGAACAGCTATCGCCCCGTCGTCAAGTGTGTCAGAGCAGGAGGGGCGCTGAGCGCATGTGACTTTGTCGTGCCAGCGCCTCCACCGCCCATTCACAGAACTCGTGAAACAGTAGCTCTAAGTCCCTCGGACCCCCATTCCCACTATTTCTGTGAGTTTGACTCTTCTGAGCACCGGGGTGTAGGTGGAACCATGAAGCAATTTGTCCTTTTGTGACCTTTCCTCCCAGCACCATCATGTCCTCAACTTTCACCCATACTGTAGCGTGGTCAGAATTCCTGTCCTTTTCAAGGCTGGATAGTATTCCACGGCATGGATATGCCACTGCTTGTCCACTGATTCGTATGCTGTTACCACACCTTTCACCTATGACACTTAGGCAGGAGCCTGGAACTTTAGAAGGGATGTTAACGTTCACTGTGAGAAGGTAATGACACATGGGAAGGGCTCCAGCATTAGACGTGTTTAAATCTTGCCATTAACCCTTCCTGGCTGTGCAAACTCAGGTGAGTGGTTTGGCCTCTCTGAGCTTTCCTCATCTCTAAGAAAAGGGAGAAAAGTGGGGTGTGGCTGTGCATACCTGTAATTCCAGCTACTCGGGAGGCTTAAGAGGAGAGTTGCAAGTTTGTGGCCAGGCTGGGCAACTCAGCAAGACCTTGTTTCAAAATAAAAGCTAAAAAGGGTGGAAAGGTAGCTCAGTGGTAGTGTCCCTGGGTTCAACTCCCAGGGCTACTAAGAGGAAAAAGAGGAAGGGGGGCATCATTTTCATCACATTGATCTGAAGTTCTGAGTCCCAGGGGCAGGGTCTGGCACAGAGCAGGCACTCGGGAATGTTCTGGGCAGGTCCACTCGTTTGTGCTCCTGCCCAGGACTGCCCTGTGCAGTTACACATGTTGTCCACTGTGCAAGAGCATCCGGTCTGGGTCCTCAATTTACCCCTCTGAATCCAGGGCCCAGCTCCTGCCCAGAGGGAGTTCTTTGTCACCTATGTGCTAGTGTGTCCTGCACACCCAATAAATGAGGAGTAAAAAGACACGGAGGGGATCATCAACCAGTCTAAGGCCACACAGCCATCCTGAGACCCCTTGGGGTTGAGTGCCTGGCTCCAGGCCCAAAGAAGAGAGAAAAATATGCATCCACGAGCCTGGAGCAAAGGAGAACCTGGCCGCTGCCCTTCAGCCCCCTCCCTCCCGCTCTCCCATTAAGAAGCAGAAATCGGAAGGGAAAAAAAACCCACAGCGGTCCATTCACAGTTGGGCTCCACTGCGGGGGTGGCCTCAGCTCGGCCTGACACAGCTCGTGCTGTGGACGGTGCCCCCCACACCCCCCCAATCCCTGCCGTCCCTGGACTGCTTTGCAGACAGCCGGCCCACCAGACTTATTTAGTCTGAGTTTGGTGACCCCGTGACTGGTGGCGGGAGCGCTCAGGTTTCCAGGCCCTCCCGCTACAGTCGCTGGGCCCTCCACCCGCGCCGGGCGTCTTACACAAACACTCACCTTCAGGCCCACTTCCTGCCACGCCGGCTGCGGAGTCATCAGCCACTGGCTCCCGGGAGGCAGCGAGGTTGAGGGCTCACTACGTGGCCCGGGCTGGGGTCCCACGGGCCCCTCACCCCCTCACACCCCACACTCAGCTGGCTCGCGGTGTTCCCATCTCCCCAGCCTCAATCCCTTGGGCCCCAAGGACTGGCCGGTGGGATTCAAGGAAAGAAAACAGTCGTACATCTCACAGCGTCTCTCCAGCAGTGCACACATGCTAGGTCACTACGTCTTGGGTGGGGAAATGAGGCCCCACAGAGGCAGAGGAACAGGCCCGAGTCCTCCAGGTGACAAAGGCAGGCACTGAACTCGGACCTCAGGGCTGGGGACGGGCACGCCATCCAGCTCTGAGGCCATTGTTTCAGCCGCTGTGCCTTCTCCATTCTGGGTTCTGGAGGTGAGAGGACATCGGGCCTCTGGAGGCTGGCCTGCCGTATGTAGCATCTTGCTGGGTGACGTGTGGGGCACTCATTGCACCCTGGGGACTTTGATGCTACCCAGGTCGAGCGTGCTTAGCAGCTCTGGGAAGGAACCGAGGGGCTGGGTCCACTCTGCTGCCCTCACCACACTCCTGGCGCGGTGTGGAGCCCCGTCCTGCTGCTGGCTCGCGCGGTGGAGGGCAGTGTCACGTGTGCTCCTCAGCTCGCAGTCAGGACACCGAAGCCGAGTGGGCCGGAGTCAGCAAGCTTGTGCAGGGAGCCATCAGAGGCCCAGCCTCCCGCTTCTGGGTCATCCCTGGCGGGGGGCGGGAGGCTGGAGGTCACGGCTCTTTCACAGCTCCTGTATCACTTTTATTATCACGGACGTGAACAACGCCTACACAACACATCAGCACCAAACACTGCGACTCACACTGGTACCCATTAAGCTTCCCTCTCCCCCGCTCCACGCACACACCAGGGCCAGGTTTCCTGGACGGCTTGATGTGTATTCTTGCAGATTTCCTCCCCTTTATCAAGTGCTCGTATGTATGCAGGCACAATTTTACGTGTGGCCTCCTAAGCCTTACGTATTTCCTTTTTTTTTCCGGCTCTGGGGATCGAACTCAGGACCTTGTGCTTGCGAAGCAGGCAGGCATGGTGCCACTGAGCTACACCCCCCGGCCCCCTTACATATTTTCAATAATTGATTTTTAAGAGTCAATAACAAATGCATTGCCTTTGTGACGGGGAAAAGGATACAGATATTAAAACTTGAAACAGAATCACATTGAGAAACATCCCCAGGTTAAGCGCTCTGAAGTTGCCAAATCAAAGTTCTACTCAGGAAAGTTCCGCACCAGCGAAGCCGGATTCCCTGCAGGGCTGCTGGGATCCGGCGGGCTGTTGTATTTGGCTGGAGGCAGGGAGGAGAGGACGCCTCCAATTCCCAGCAGCTCCGTGGACACCCCCTCCCCACATGTGCATTGTGCTGGGCTTGTCGACTCAGCAAAATAGGCCGCGGCTCCTGACTGCTCGGATTGGAAGGAGATTGCCTACCAGCCAATTAATTCTGATTTAATTGCTCCGGCTCTACAACTCGGGCCTGAACAGCTAATCTGGTGGAGGGTGGTGAGACTGGCAGATGCTGCCCTACCCACTCTAGGGAGATGCTGAGAGAGATAGGAAAACAATGGTTCTCCGAAGGACCCTTGGGTGTTTTAGGGGAAATGCTCCCTAGGACTACAGGGGATTGTAGTGGGGCCCAAGATGTGGGCCCCAGGACTACTCCAAGAGAGCAGCCGGAGGGCTGGGTCGACACAGTTCTCACTGTAGTTCTCACTGAAGGCTGCTGCTGCTCCCCTCTCCACCCCACCGTCAGCCGCCTGAGGTCTGGTGTAGAGCACAGTGTTTGATTTCGCAGACACAGCATCCCTTCCTAGCCGTCTTCGGCCTGCCGCAGCTCAGGAAGGCTCTTGAGAATTACAAGACAGGAAAGGGAAATGAGTCCCGGAGAGAGGGCTTGGTGGACCTGGGGTAGCGGCTGGCTCCGCTGCCCTTCGGCTTTGCTCCCTCGGAGACACCCTTCCCCGGTGCTGGCCGTTCTCACCGAGGGAGGCCTTCCGGGAAGTGGGAGGAGGCTCAGTTGACACTTTCTTCTGTGATGGCTCCGCATGAAGCAGACCGTGGGCCTGGAGGCTGATTCATCGAGTGCCTGTTCTCTCCTCCCTCTGTGCCTGGGGGGGAACGCGGAAGTGGCTGTCCTGGGGATCAGAGGCTCCGACCCTGAAGAGGAACATGATATGTATCTAATCTCTGACCTTCCAAGGAGGAGAATCTCATCGAGGATTCCAGTGCAGCGGGGAGGCCACTCACCCCGGCCTCACCAGCCTCCATCCGCACCTCGGGTCACTCCTGGCTGCTACAGATGCTCTCCAGGGTGGTGGCCAACAGGACGGGGGCCACCGGGAGCGGGCAAGAGGGAACCCAGACAAGAGCCAGGGAGGCAGGATGGGAAAGGGCCGGAAGGGAAGTTATAGGCAGGGACAGCAGTCCACCAGAAGTTCAGGAGGGAGCTGGAGAAGGAAAAACGGCAAGGCAGAAATAAAGGCTAAAAAGAAACTAAACAGGGCCCGGGATTTAGCTCAGTGGTGCCACCCACCTGCATCGCAAGCGCAAGGTCCCGAGTTCGATCCCCAGTACCCCCCCAAAAAAAGAAAGAAAGAAAGAAGAAACTAAATAGAGCTTGAAACAAAGCCAAGGAGGAAACAAAGGGTAAGGAAAAAAAGCAGGCAGAAGGAGAGGCAGCAGCACAAACATGAGGGAGAAGGCCGAGGAAGCTTCTAGAATGTCACCTGCTCTTCCTGGGGGCGAGCTGGGCAAACAGCAGGGCCACAGGCTCGCCCTGGTCTCTCAGCCCAGCCCTAGTATCCACCTGCTCCCAGGAGCCTTTGGGGCAGGCAGCCCGGCCTACTTCTGTGTCCCCAGCACCGCCTACCCTGATTGGCCAGTCCGAAGGGCGGCGGAGTTGCGCCACGCCCACCCGTCTTCACTGGGCAGGGAAGGCAGAAGCCCCAGAGTCCAGGGCCTCCCGGAGTGTTCGCAGCCGCCCCAAGTGCTCCCTCCCCCGCCTTCCCCACCACCTAGAAAGCTGTCCAAGTGGAACAGCCTGCAGCTATTACAATAAACACCTCAGCCGCAACCTGTCTCTCATTTGCATATTAGCAGCCTTAATTCTGATGAAATATGCAAATGTATGCAAAATGAAATTCATCTCATAATGACACAAGGCGATTAAACAATTTTTATGCTTAAATATTCTGTTTAATGAAATCAAACAGACCTGCGCGTGTGACAAATTCTCCACAGCATGGAGAAATTGGGATATATGTACGCCTGTGTGCTATATACGTACATAGGCA